CAGGTCTTCCCGATCTGCCTTGATCTGATAGTCGATCAACGCCAATAAGAATTCATACATCTTCTGAGGATGCTTGTCCGGTAGTCTATGGTAGGCATTGAGGCCGAACTCCATCTTCTTGCTCCCTTTGATCTTCCTGTAAAGGATGTCTCTGAGAGCCAGCTTACTGGGTCTGTCCTCGCTCCTCATCTTCAGCAGCAAATCATACCATTTGTTCATGAACATGACCAAGTTCTTGTCGCCAGGAAAGTCAAGGTTGAATAAATGCTCGATGTGGTAGACAAGATCCGTTCTATCGGAAGTTCTGAATGATTGCATAACTAATGCCACCACCTCTCGTCCCTTCACGATCACCCCTTGTTGATGTCGTAGTTCAGAGTGTCGTGTAGCATCGAGGTATACGTCCTTGGCTTCGTCAGGTGCTTGTTTCATCATGTTCTGCATGCCCATGGCCATCTTAATATCTATCGTAGCAAATCTGTCGCCACCTGAATCGCTAAGCAAATCCAGGTCTGGGTTCAACCCAAGAGCCTGCTCCAGCCATTTCGTCCATGCGTCGGTATCTGGATCTGCACATGCGCTCAGAACATTCAACAGCAGTTGCATCTTCCAGGTGTCAAGTTGATGGATCTTTGGCCAGGCCGGAATAGATACTCTCTCGGCCTCTTTCCTCGAGATTCTCGGTCGATCATTCTTGATCTCTCGGTTATCTCTCGATCTCCTTCGTCTCCTCCGTGTCCGATCGTCTTCTTCCTCTTCTTCTTCCTCGTCTTCCTCATCTCCTTCGTCGTCGTCATCCTCATCCTCATCATCGGGTGGATCATCCGGAGGTCCTCCTCCGCCACCAGCGAGGCTCAACTGACGTCGACCCGCTCCCTGCCCATTCCCATTGGGCGGGAATCCACCGTAATCCAATGGGGGCGTAGTACCGTTGTTTCCCCCCCCATCACCACCACCAGTCGTAGTAGTGGATTGTGGGACATGCCCAACAACCCCTTGCATCTGGGAAAGGTGTACATCGATCATTGGATCACCGAAAGACGGAAAGAGGATCGAACCTGGCATCAGCGACGAATTAGGGATTTGATTTGAAGACGATGACGGGACTGACCCAGCCACCTTCTTGTCTATCCTATTTGAATTAGCCTGGGGTCCTCCCTCAGCGCGTTTCACTACTGCTCGTTCACGATGTCCATCTCTGCTGCTGGAGGCTTCCTGCATCTCCAGCTTCTTGTGTGCACGTAGTTCCTCGTTGTCAGCATCGAGTTGGCGTACAAAACTCTCTTCTTGCTTGAGCGTCGCCTCTCTTTCTTTCAGTTGTCTCTGAAGCTCATGCATCTCCTCGAGGTACTCATCGTACATTCCCTAAGCTGTCAATCTCCAGTACTCAGCCTCCTTCGACTTCTCGTCCATCGTGCACCGTTCCTCTTGTTTCTCTTCTTTGACCGGGGCTAACTCCAAGATCGCATCCTGACGATGACCACCTTCGACAGCAATCATCTGGTCCTTCATCGACACGTCGGACTCATACTGTTTGACGATCTCTTCTTTTTCGCGAAGCAAGCAAACTGCTCTCTTCGATTCCTGTTCCGCAAATACTGTAACGTCATTCAGCCTCGCCATCAGCTGTTCCCTGGAGTCCTCCAAAGAGTACGTCTCGGGGCGCTTGAAGAGTGCATGCTCCAACTGTGATTTCAGACTTTGGACCATCTCCTCCTCGTTGAACTTCTCGATAGATGTAGAAGATTCTATGCCTCTGATCTGTTGCTGATAAACTGATAGCTGTTGTGAAGCCTCACGGTGTATCTGATTTGCACGTATAGCTGATTCCTGCGCGGCCGACTTCTCGCTTGCCATGTAGGATTTCATCAATGCAATCTCCCGCTTCTGCTCCATGATAGTTCCTTCAGCTTGCCTCATCTGTTGCATTATAATATTCGACTCCATGTCTTTCTTCTCCCCGTACTGAAATGCGTTCATTTCCACCTTGCGCATCTTTTGGGCTTCTTCCTCAAACTTGCGCCATGCCTCAGCCATGTGGTGTTGGTGGTGACTCACTAGATGTCCCGACTGCTTGCTGGCAATCTCGCATCGTCTTTCCAGCTCCTGGATCCGGATGGTGCTTCCATAGTCTTCTGGGTTAAGATTCGCCATTGCTGCCGACATTTCATCAAGTGTCTTCTGATATTCCCCGATCTCCACCTCCATCTTATTCTTCTCTTTGATCACGGCGCGAAAATCTGCACTGGTGGGTGATTTGACCTCCCACCCTTCGATGTCGATCTCACGCCCTTCTGCGACGTCCGTGGTGTCGCAGGCGAAGATGATGATCTTCTCGGTGGGGATTCTATTTGCTTCGACTCCTGATGAACATCGATCTGCTTCCATGATCTTGTGGGAGTGGATATGTCGCTGAATAGCGCGGATCCTCCGCTCCCAGGTTCATCCTGTGAATCTGCAATCATATCCATCACCGCAGGAAGAGCCATCAATCCATTGGATCCCTCTGAGCTGCTGTTCCCAAAAGTTGCAGTACTTGGGCTCGCCGAAGACGCCATTGTACTGTGTAGGTTATCGTTCCTTTATTGTCCCTGTACCCGCAATAAACCAGCTGTCACCCAGTCCAGTGTAGAGCTTGTAGTTACGGCTGATAACCTGTCAAGAGACGGCAAGGTGACGTCCCGTGGGACGCTATGCACCGAACCCTCAAGCTGTAATACAAACCACGTAGAAAGGTGTATACGGACGATGCCGTTATAGCCGAACCCGTGTAAACGTTGTAAGGGAGAAGGAATGATAGTTACAACAGTGGTCCTGACAAATGCAGCGCAAGCAAAGTGTTTTCGCTCTCAATGCCGATCACGTATGTATGCAGTCACACATCAGATCTTGAACCTCAATTGTGTCTTGAGCCTAATGGCGATCAATGGAACTTGGGAAGCAACACCAACAAGGACCTCAGAACAGCTACCCAATTTCGGCACGGGGCCTAGAGGGTTTTAACACATACATACATACATACATACATACATACATACATTACATTACATTACATTACATTACATACATACATTACATACATACATACATACATGCATACATACATTACATACATTACATACATTACATACATACATACATACATACATACCTACCTACCTACATACATACATTACATTACATTACATTACATTACATTACATTACATTACATTACATGACATTACATACATGCATACATACATACCTACATGCATACATACATACATACATACATAGATTACACACATACATACATACATACATACATACATACATACATACATACATACATACATACATACATACATACATACATACATACATACATACATACATACATACATACTACATTACGTTACGTTACGTTATGTTACGTTACATTACATTACATACATACATACATACATTACAGACATACACGCATACACATACACACACATACATACATACATACATACAGACAGACAGACAGACGGACGGACAGACAGACAGACAGACAGACAGACAGACAGACAGACAGACAGACAGACAGACAGACAGACATACACACATATATATATATATATATTTATGCATACATACATACCAGAGAGGGAGATTGGGCATAGAGAGGCTTGGGGGGATGGGGAGGATGGGGAGCAGAGGGAGGGAGAGAGGACGACAGAACACACAAGTTCAAGGGAGACAAGGGAGAGAGGCAGAAGGAAAAAAGGGAGAGGACAATGTCGGCGGACGCAGCCGGAGGCTGTAAAGTAACTTCCCTTCGGATAATTTTCGAGCTCGCCATCCCTCATGAGCTCATAACTAGAGTGGCTTGCCCTCGTTCAGCAACCCGCTCGAACACCTTGCCCCAGAAACCCAAGTGCTGAACAGACAACATGCAAACGCAGCATGGAAATTCAACGGTCCCCTCCCAGCTTTCTTTTGGCAATGTGGCCGTGCTTTTTGGCAGACCCACTCAAATGGTGGTTTTCCTTTCCGCTTGCCTTTGAAACCAACCAACAAGGGGGACCCTCAACGCAGGAACCACACCCATGTGGGGGCATGTCCCTCACTGTTTTCGCGGCAAGGTCAAGGTTGCCATCAGGGGCCCTTTGGTAGTGCAAATGACAAGGGTGGCGTTGGGGGCTACGGTTCCTTTTGTGCTTGGGGGTCCCATCAAAGCAAGTGAACCTTTGAACCGCCCCGTCTTCGACGAAAAGAAGTGGACCACCTTGACGGGTTTCTATACACTTCTAGGGTGAGCATGTGCTTTGCCACAAAAAGGCGGGAGGGCGGTTTCCTGAACTGTCCGGGCTCCATGTACTTTGGCCTCCTCCTCATCACCGGCGCTCTCTCGGCCGTTCTTTCGGCCGCTTGGCTTATGCGTGCATCTGGCTCCATCTGGTTCAAGCCACGTCCATGAGACTCCATCTTCCAGCCATGCCCATGGCCGCTCCTCACACTCATCAAAGGAATGACCAACAACTTTTTACTGCCACCTGCAGTAAGATGTCTCTTCAAAACAGGGTCCTAAAAAACCACCCGCCGGGTGAGCTATTCCAATTTTCGCGAGGTCACAAACGGAAACGCTTTTCTAAATGCAATAAACCTGGGGAAAAAACAACTCTCGGCCCACATCTAGACCAAAAAATGTTTTATGCTGGAATGGCTGTATGGCAACTCGTTTTCAGATTCTGTTTCATATTCACTCCTGAAATAGTTTTGGAGGAGACCCTTGAACTGGGTGCAGTGCTGGCATGCAGAACGCTAAGAGGGTGCCCTACCCAAGGAAAAAGGGGAATGTGCCGTTAAACCTGTCCACATAGAACTGGAATACCAATCTGCTTCCCCGGAGGAAACTGGTTTATAATCCGATAAAGGCGACCCGCAGCAGTGCATCGGGACCCCCCACGCCCCCGAGCAAACCCCCCAACCACCCCCAACCCAACAAACACACCCTGCTGACAGGCCCCGGGCCCTGACAAGGACTGCCGCGCTCAGCATGGCGCCCTGAGGCCTCAGCGCAACTCTCCACCCCCATCTCCGTTTTTTGGCCAGCAAAGTCCAGGGATCATTTTAAAACAATTTGGGCAACCTTGTTTTCAACCTTGGCATCTTTGTAACCTACCCCCCCCCGCTTTCTTGGCCCATCTAGGCGCGGCAAGCAAATCATATGAAACCTTGATGCAGAGCCACACGAAACAAGACTGATCAAAAACATCGGGCGCTGCCAAGGCAGGGGGGTTTGGGGATGGAGCGCAGCACCCCAGTAGAACCACACGAAACTAGAATGATGTGACACAAGAGTCACACAAAACTGGAATGATCAATAACGTTGGGCGCCCGCCAAAAATAGCCCCCCCCCCCCACACACAAAATGGAGGGGGCGCAGCCGCCCCAGTAGAACTCCACGAAGCACCAGAGCCACACGAGAAAATGATCAGCCAAAAATTGACATGAAACCAGCGCCGCATGAAACAGGACTGATCAATAACCTTGGGCGCTCGCAAAAAACAACAGGGACCCGCCGGTAGAACCACGCGTGACAATTCTTAAACCTTGGGCACGCAGCTGCGCCCCCAATCTTGAGCAAAACTGTGCGAAGCAAGAATAAACCAGAACAGCGGGGGCCGGGCGCAGCCCCCCTCCCCAACTACACAGACAAGACCGATGACACCAGAGCCACACGAAGCAACCATGATCAAGAAACACCAAAAGCAGGCAACACCCGCCCCCGCCCAAGTATAACCACACGTAACAAGAATGATGTGACACCAGAGCTACACGACACAGGAACAATAACCTCAAGCACCGCCAATCATAGACAAGCAGGGATCGGGCGGCCCCCCAATCGCGCAGAAGTTGGACATGCCTCTTGCTGGAAGTGCTTTCTCATCTGTGTTCAAGGCTGTTGCGTAGATTATGTTCTCACAGCCGGCATGCAGCAAGAACTCTTCACAGGTGCAAAGCATGGTGTGTCTCTGGGCAAGCCCAACTTCCACCGATTGCGGGGCCAGGAACCAGCATGCTGCGCCTGCATGCAGCAATGTCCAAGCTTCCATTGGAAGTGTCTCACACTGGCTTGCATGCGCAGGCGTAGGAGGTGCATCATCGCTTTGGCGTGCAGGCTTGGGGGCAACCGCGCTGCTTGTGACCGGCGTCGCAGTGCATCCAGAAGTTGCGTGCGACAGCTCGACACGCGTCGCAGTCTCACCAAGCAACCAAGACAGCACACGATGTTTCGGCAGGAATTCGCGGGCAGCATTCGGCAAGTGCTGATGCACTCTTTCATAAAGAGTTTTGCTGACCCATGCGTCATTGACAAGGTGATCACCCAGGGGAGGGGAATCAAAAACTGTCTTTTTATTCTCTCCCTATGGCCACGACACTCTGGTCTTAGCCAGTGCTCGGCGCCGCGTCCGGGTCGCCTTCCTCTTCCGGCGCCGGACCGGCTCCGTGCCAGGGCAGCTTCAAATTCTTCATCCTCGTCGTCCTCGCGCGCGCGCGTTGACAACTCTGTTCCCTTATTTTTTGGCCTGGCCTCCAAAGCCGCGGCGAGCACTGCGGCGTGCTCGAGGTTCAGGTCTTCGGAAAAAGTTCCGAGCCCCTGGCCACCACGGCCGTGGCAAGTGCCGCGGCGTACTCGAAGTCCAGGTCTTCCTGCGGGAGCGCGGGGGCGCAAGACCAAAAAAAGAGGTTCCGAGCCTCGCTGGCTCCTCGCCAGTTCGTGCGGGGAGGCGGGGCATCGCCTAGGGCCTTCGCCAGCTCTCTCGAGTCGGCCCTTTAGGCGGGGGAAGTTCTTCTTTTTTTTTCTCGCCAAGACGCACACCTTGCGGGCGGTGGCAACTGTCAGCCAGCGATTGCCGGGTCTCGAGCCTCTCGTCCGTGCTTCTTTTTGAGCTTGTCCCGAGCGCGGTACTCCTGGTTTTTGGGCCCTCCCTCCCTCCCTCCGACCCAAGCCAGAGGGCCGGCCTGTCGCGTTTGTCGCGGAGCTCGGCCAGGGCTTGCGTTGCCTCCTGGCCGCAACAAGCTCCGCCGGCGCGGTGGCCTTGTCGAGCCCGCGCCTTCTCGCCCTGCACGGCTGCTTTTTTCAGATCTGCCCTCTTCTTCTTGAGGGCTTGAGTCTGCTTCTTTTTTTTTTGCTCGCCGCGCCTGGGTGTTCGGGCTCGGAAAGGGGCAGCGAGAAGCGCTCCTCAAGAGCCTTTAAAGCCTTTCTATGCTCCGCCGCGTCTTTTTTCAAGTCCTCCTTTGCCTTTCTCTTTGCGGCGGCCACGCGGCGCTGTCGTTCCTTTGGCGTTTCGCCATCCTAGGGGCAAACAAAAGCCGGGGAGGGGGTTGAAGCTCAAACAGCCTTCTCAGGGTGCAGCGTGTTCTGGCGCTCCGTGTGCCACACGCCCGCTATGGCATCCCTGAACGGCTCCAAGGCCGCAGGAGTGCAGTGGAGGCTATCGGCCTCGAGCCACAAAAAAAGAAAAGGCCAAACAGATTTCCAAGGCCGCGGCAAGGAGGGAAAGGAAAGCGGGCGCGTCCAGTCTTTCGGCTCGAATCTCCTCCAGAGTGGAGCCGAGCCAGTTGGTCTGGGCGAGCCCTGAGTTGGCATGGGCGCGCGGTCAAAGTTCGGGCTGCGCTGCAGTTAAGGCGCAGCTTCAACCGCGCACCAGGCCACTCGCGTTGCTCGAGGGTTGCCTGGGTTGCCTCACGCGGAAAAGGGAAACCGGTCGCGGTCGGGGACCCGCCGAGTGCCCGACTCGGCATTGCCTCCGCCGCTTTCTTCTTCTTTGCTTTCTTAATCTGGCGTGCCGACCAGATCTGTTTGTCTAGGTCGCGCGCCTCTGCTGGCGGGAAGAGAGGCTCGCCCGGCGTGCAGTTCAGCACCTCCGTCTCAGCCTCCTGCGCCTGACAGCAGGCGTGTGTTAGGGCGGCGCAGTTTCCGGGCAACGGAAGGCCTTTCACACAGAGGTAGTTCGGCGGGGGCGTCAGCCGCCGCCTGTAACTCCTCCGCTCGGAGCACCGCCTCTATGTCTTGCTCCAGTTGCTCCTAAACGGACTTTCGGAGAGATCAAAAGGGTCGAAGGCGTCGTCTTCCAGTCCCGCTGTTGGCGCCGGTTTTGTTCCCCATTGTTCGCTCTTTCTCTGTTTGTTTGTCTGTTCTTGTCGCCCGGGCGCTTCACAAGATGGTGCAGCTGCAGCACTCGGATGTCAGCGTTGTATGTGTCCTGGGCTGCGTGTTGCTCTGCCCCGTCTTGGCTTGCCAGGCCGCGGAATGGCGCGCCCAATCGGGCAGCCCATTGCTTCCGTCCAAGTGCGTTCGGGAAATTGTATGTAAAACAGCGTAGGACATGCTTTTCAGTCAAAGGCGAATGACCAAAATAACGGCCATTTGGGGTCCCAGGAAGTCAGTTGCGCGTCGACTCGTTGAACTCGAAGTGAGACAACGCCCTTCCTGGGAATCGGGTTGGAACTCGGGGAATCGCCTCCCTTGTCCGAAACCTGACAACTATTGACCCCGCACAAACGAAGCCGGAAGGCTTCGTGGGCTTTCTTATAGGCATCTCAAAGGAGACTCCCAATTTGTACCCCCTCCCATCCACAAACATGGAGCCTCACTGGGGGTGGGGGGGGTCCTTGAAGTTCCATGTTTGTGGACAGGAAGGGTCATACTGTGGATGGACAAAATCCACAAAACACACCAGTTGGCATGGATGACACCTATTTAAAACAAAACACCTGCATCACGACGACCCCTTTTGATGTAGGCCCTTTGTAGATGGCTTTGCAGGGGACAACCCACATTTTGGGGAATGAGTGAATGATCCCTATAAAGATTCCCCTACGGTTTCCTTTAAGAAAATCCCCTTTCTGGTTCCCTGCGTCATTCCCTACTGAGCACCAGCAAGTTTGACGATGACCACAAGTGGGTGCTTTTATTGAGGCTTCGTACCCTTTCGGGGGTTCCTCGAAAGGAAGACCAGTCCGATTCCAAAACAAGACGGACCCGGCCGTTCTGATTTGTTGCTCTTTCACAATTACTGCATCAGAGGCTGGACATCAGGAGGGGCCTTCATCATGGGCTCTCGTTTTTCCCCCGCCGATCGTTGAGATTGCTGAAAGTTGCCCAAATGTGTCCCGCCTTCCCATTGACACTGGCCGCGGATGAATCAACTCCGTGGATTTTTCTTGCGTGTTATTCCTCCAGAAGTGAAGGTGTGGCCTCTAAAAACATAAAACATCAGCCAGGGATGTATGGAAACATCAGCCAGGGATGTAGGGTGAACCCTGAGCGCCATCTTAAAAGAGAAACCATGGGGAACCCACCACTGAAGCCAACCTCCCCAGCTTCTTGGTGCTTCGACCGATTTTGGGCACGCCTTGCCCACTTTCCCTCGGCCTTCCCCCCTCCCGACCCGCTCAGCCAAGGTGCTGGTTGCCACCGCGGGCCGCCACCTCGCTGAGCACGCGGCTGCTGGAATCCTACCGAAAACGAGGAGACCGCGGGACCCCGAAAACAATTGGACACACCCACAGGCAAGGTCCACGCTGCCCATCGCGAAGACTCTTACGAACCCAGGCGTGAAAGTGCAGGCAGGGGTGCCATAATTCATGGCATTCCGCCCTTTGGCTTTGGGTCGTGCCCAGGGACAACATGAACACCAACGTGGCTAGAAAAAACATTCTTGGATTTCCACCAAGTTAATTCTTTAAATGGTTTTGGGTTGACAACTTTAGTGCCAGGTCTTGATTCGGACTCGAATGACATCGTGTTCCGTTGCAGGTGCACTCGGTAGGATGGATCCGGATTCCGGGCGAGTGAGCCACATCCAACCAGACAGAGATTTGGGCTGGGTGTTGCTTGTCCCCTTCGGATGCTTTGCGTCGCCGGTACGGTTGGTCCCCTCGAAAGGGAAACCACAAGGAGGTTATCTTTAAACAATCGTGATTTGAACATGTCGGTTTGTGCCACATTAGGAGAACTCCACCCAACAAACAAAGTGCTCCTTTAGGTTGCTCTTGAACCGATCTGAAAACGCTACCGAGCCTCAAGTCCAATTCAAACAAATACAAGCCGGCCTATCTGGGCTTCATCCTTTTCTAACCGTGGCGCCAACCTATTTTGCAGGGCTTAACTTTAAACCCCCAACACCAAACACCCCGAACTCCCTGCCCTCAACCCCATAACCCCTGCCTCCCCCCAAACCAACGGTTAAGCCCCCCTCAACCCCAAACCCTAGTCTGGCCGGCCCTGGCGGTGGAAAGCCCAATAGGTTCCAGCCCCCCGAACATAGTGGTGTTCCTGTTGGTATCCCTTGCAAACCACCCAAAAGGGGGTACCATCAAAAACGACATGCCCATGTTGCTGGGGGTGCGTGTGACGTTTTCGGTCTTCCCTTAGCTTTCTGACCCCGCATGTTGCGCAACGCGATGCTTAGGAGGTCCAGCACCTAACGATGCTTTTAATAAGCGTCATCTGCCGGGGTTTAATTGTGTCTTTGAGAGGTAGGCTGCGACGTGTGCCTTGAGGACAAGGCCAAAATGAATCAAAATAATCCTATGCCATGTTCATGGCTCCCGCAATAAGATTCCTTGAGACTTTCCCTAGCCCCGAGAAAAGATCTTGGGGCCACACGTTGATTGAAAAGCATGAAAAGGCAGGGCCAAGCCTGCTCAGTGAATTGCCCTGAAAGGGGGACGATCCCGCTTCTCCGAAACCATCCGGAATTGGGTGCCCATAGAGCAATACCCCATCCCGGATTCCAAATGATCTACGCAATGATTCCAACATCAATCAGGGAATGCACATGATCTGTGAATTCTTGCAATGCTTCCAACACCTGCAATAAGAGGATGCCCTTTATAAACAGCTACCTTCATCACCTTGAGCTCGTTTTACCTCCCGGTGAGCTCACCCCAAACAAATCTGGTTGCTCAGCGCTCCTGCAAGAGAAGCTTGTTCAGCTCACCCAGCATGATCACACCTGGCTTGCGTCGGCCTGGACCTCTGAAAGCCACGTCTCGCTCTTTTGTCAATGTTTCTCCCCAACAGCTGAAAGCTAGCTCTGCCCAAACAAGCTCCGGAGCGATCTAGAGCAGAAGGTTGGGGCTATCACTTGGGTGATTCTTCTCCAACTACCTGTGGGTGGTTGCGAAATCCGCTTCTCGCACCACCCAAGAAACCATGCGGAACATTGCGCGTTGGTATTTGCAAGAGAATCATCCTTCCAGGGTTTCTTAGGTGGTGCAGAATTTTGTCCATCCACAGTATGATTTGACGATGTTGATTTCACGTCATGGATGATGTATAGCAAAAGAAAAGCAGCATCGCCTTCTAGTGCCCCCAGTTTAGCATCCCTCAATTTTGAGAGCCAGCTGCTTGAGCGTGGCTGCACTTGTGCTCGTTGCGGAAAATAAGCCTATTTACCAGAGTGTGCCATCCCTGCGACAATTTGGTCACTTGAAGGCTCCCTTGATATCACAGAAAGTGGCCCAAAAACCCCTATGCCCTACACATACATTGCTATGGGACCCTCAAAACTGTTGCTTCCCTTAAAAACGAACCCCAAAAGGGCGAACCATTCTCTTTATAAGAACCGCCAAAAGGAAAAGAGCTGACTAGCCCCAAGAAGCTCCAAGATTTTTGTGTGCCGGTAAAAACTCATCTTCCCAGGTGGCCAAAAGCATGGGAAGCCAAAACACCTGGACCCCTCGACACCCCCCTCAACCCCTCGACCCAAAACCACCCAAAAGCCACCTGGGAAGCTGTTCTCCGTGAAGCTCCCGAAGTGCCTGAGCTGCAGGTCCTCCGTGATCACCAGAACGCGGCCTCGAGCAAGGGAGAAGTCAGGCAGACCCGCCTGGGTCAGGAAAATGTGCTGGTTTCCTTTTCCATGCACAATATCCACACACAAAAAACGCACCAGTTGGGATGCATGAAACCCTGTACATAACCAGACCGGTGCGAAGCAGATTTTGGCATCCACGGAAACCACATAAAGAAGAACACCACAGCACCCTGAACTGCATCGAACGCGCGGCGACACACATCGAAGACTTTCACCTTGGCCAACACGGGGTGGAGCAATCCGTTGACGAATGGGTCTATCTGCCTGCTCTATGCATTTAGAACTTTGCTGAGGGCTGCCTCGGGAGGTTATTTCATTTTGGAGTTCTGTCAAAACTAACAAAAGTCCCCCCCCATCACAGAAGGCAAAGGACACACCCACTTTATCTGCCTTCCCCTTGCATCTCACAGCCGAATCTGGCTCCTTTCCTGCCGTTTGGTACCAGGCAACCATGTAGTTTTCTCTTGGGCAGCCTTGTTGCGCAGCTCTCCGCTCGATCATCGGGCAAATCCAGGTGCACCTTCACTCCCTACACACAAAACGGGACTTGCTGTTAAAGAATCTCTGGGCACCTGGCACCTGCCGGGTATGGAGCAAGGCGCTGCTCATTCTTTTCAAGAAAGCCGTTGGCCTTCCATATACCTAAATTTGTCTAACAGGGCAACCATCCAAGCTGGTTTTATGCGTGTTTCCCTCTAAACCCCTGAAAGGGTATACTGAGCCTCAAACGACAAATACCCACCCCCGTGTTGATATGATACTTTCAAGGCATCGTTTCTGGACAAAACTGGGCTGTCCTTGGATCCCCCACTAAAAGTTTAAAACTTCTAGTCTAGCATGTTAAATGGAAACCGTCACAAAAGCCTAAGTTTAACCTGAGGATTGGCTGGTTCCGAACCGCCAAGTTTTCAAAAATAAAAAGGGCGACTTTGGGGTTTCTGCGGGGCAAGGCCAAGGGCTCTTCAGCCTCCAAATCCCACATCGTCCGAATCGAAGCATAAGCGATGCCGGGCCTGGCGACTCGGCCCTGGGAAAGCGGCGAGGGGAACCCACTTCATGGCTTTCAGCAGGCAGGGAATTTCATGTTCATTTGGATGAACTTAGGAGGGATCTTTCTGGATTTTCTGGGATGAACCTAGGTTTCTGTTTTGTTTTGGAAGGGACAGTTCATAGGCTCATTCCCTCATTCCCTCCGAGAACCAGCAAAACACACATTTTGGAGTTCAAAATCCCCACTCCTAACCAGGAAACACTTGGCGGGAAGGGAAGCTGTGACCCTGGAACAATAGGACATGTTGCCCCGTCCAACAACTCAGGATAGTTCTACCTAAATCCCCACGGGGCTGTCCTCAGATCAAGCTTACTTTAGTGGGTTAAATGGAAACCGAAACTAAACTAGTTAAAAACCTAAAAACCTACGGGGATAGCTAGCCAGGAACCACCAAGGGGAGTGCGCCCCAGTTTAGAGGGAATCCTTCACTTTTGGGGAAGAAGAGTGTCCTGGATTCGTCCGTGAGGTTTGCGGAGGTCAACACATGCACTGTTCCTGGGATCTCCGGAGCACTGCCGGCCTTTCCCAACAGTGTCCTGGGACTCCCCATGACAGATGTCAGACTTCCCACTAACACCTTCAAAAGAGTGGTTGATTCCCGCAGAGTTGAGTGACTGAATCCCAGGCTGGGGTGATTTCAGCGGCTCACTTCTGAAAATTTCAAGAGCATTCTCAGGTATGGGTTTTGGAGGTACCCACTGAACAAGGGGTATATAACGCCTTACAAGCTTATATTGGTGGTACGTAAGCCTCCATACCCCCAAACACCGTGCCTGACAAAACCTTGAATACTTGCTTCTGGGGAAAGCCCCTAACCAGGTTTTACAGGGTTCATGACATTAAGCGTCAAGTCTTGTCGCTGGGTCCGGGGTGTGCAGATCAACGCGTAGATTCTTACGCGAATTTCGCACACAGAGCGCGTGCTTTGCGAGTAAAAAGGCAAGCTTGTCTGGAAAACACAGGGCAACCAATCTTTTGGACCTGGTCCGCCTTTGCCAACATCCCTGCCCCGACCGCATGAAGATCCTTTGGGACAATTTTCGATATAGGGGACCTTGCCCCCATGTTTTCCCAGCAAAAAATGAGCGAAGCGGCCCCCCCCCCCCCCCAATATATGCATAACAAACCAACCCCCCCGCTCATGTGCGTTTCCTAAAACAAGGACATGGACACCCACAATTGCTTGGTTTCCATTTGGTTTACCCATAAAATCCTTTACACCATATCCAAAGGGGGCTCCGATTTGAAAACATCCACATGGGCATTTCCTGGCAGATTGCTTGTTGGGATCGCCTGAAGTGAAAGAGCAACGTGAAGCACGTCTTTGGGAACAAGGGGATGGAAAAAAATGTCTCAAAACATGGGAACCCCCAAATGGTGAGTTTCCTGTCGGATTCCCTTAAACCAACATGAAAATGGCACCCTCAAAAACGACGAGCCGCACAAGCCCCGTCTTCACCAATGGCCAAGTTCCTGCGTCTTTCTTAGGCAAAACTGTCTGATCCCGTCTAAAATTTGCCCAAAGCACTTTCCAGCAGCATCCCCAAAAGTCCACAAGGAACTGACTTGGCCAAAAGTATCGTTGGCCTTGATTGCGTCATTTGAAGCCTGGGTTGGGCTCGTTTGACTTGAGCCGCTTAAGGCACAGGATACGGCGCAGTTAGCCCGTGGCCAAACGGTTGGTAACCATGTTGAACTTCCGCCGTTCGCCCAATGAAGTCCAACACTTGCTGTCGAGCTGCTGCTGCTGCCTTGGTGCGAAGTGACTTGGGTAAGCTGATTAGAAGAGCAAGGGATTTGTTGTGGGAGGGTACCCAACCGATTCTTGCGTCCCTAGTCTCTTGGGTGCCTGGTATGGCTAGGAGAGTTCATGCAAAAGGAAGCACCTCCCTGGCCCAAACGTACTGTGAATGGGAAACATCTTAGATCGGCTGCCACTAAGTGTATCTAATTGTACCTCAATCAGGGTGCAAGGTTCCTTTTGGCCAGCGCCCAGCCGTTTTCTCATACTGGACTGTCCTCAGACCCCCTGCTAAAAGCTTCACTTTTAGAGGGTTGAATAGAAACCGCCAATCAACCGTAAAAGCTTATGGAGATGACTGGGATTGCAAGTTGATAAGCCTCTGCCGGCCCAAATGCAAAGCAAGCTGCAAGCATTGAATGGTTCTGGGTTCTCTCTGGCGCCATGGAAACCGTCAACATCCGTATCGAAACTGCCCAACAGCCTGATCTTTTTTTGGGGCCAGTCAGCTTCTATGTTAGTGGATGCTCCAAGCTTTGCAGTTGGCTTGCTGGCAAAACTTAGGACATACGCGACCTCGCTCCATCGCTCCCTCTCCTCCCCCGCCCTCTCTGTGCCCCTGGCTCTGTCTCTATGTTTTTGTCTCCGTCGCTCTCTCTCTCTCTCTCTCTCCCACTCTCCCTCTCAAATAGTTCTGACGGAACCCCAGTTAGCCGTTGCGCATCCCCGGTAAATAGACAAATGAAATGCGAGACAAACGTGGCGCAACAAATAGCTGATATGGTTGGACTTCGTCTTCACCTTGATGATTAATTCTACAGCACAGAATGTATTTTAGTAGCAGCAGTAGCAGCAGCAGTACCAAGAGGCCAGATTTTTGACAACCCAACTGCCGAGAAGCCAAACGCACGCAAAGTCCAGGACCTTCAACGCGCCCTCGGAGACCTGAAGCTCCCTGGCTCTGCCCTGACACGCAGGCGTGTGTGGCGTGTCGGCGCTTTTTGAGGCTAGGGAAACTAGTCCTCCAGTAGAGGTGCTAGAATAAGGGTAGCCTTTTTTCTGTAATCTATCTTAGCAGGGGAACCCTCCACCAAAAAAGCTGGTAAAAGTTGGCACTACTGGGCAACCTAGGAAACCAAAAGGAAATTGCCATGTTTGGACTTTGGGTATCCAAATCCCCAGTTCGGCACATGGCCAGGTAGTGCTCGGGTGTTCCCGATACGGTGAGTGCACTGAGTCGTGCCAAGCCAACCACGCTCGACCACAACACCATGGTCAATTACAGCAAAGTATGGCGCCATTGTTCCCCTACTTGCAATGTTGGGTCTGTCTCTAAAAAGGGGGCCCTCACAATGTGGTTTCCCTTTCATTCCCCTTTAAGAAACAGGACACACTTATTGAGTCAACCCATAATCCGCAAGCCGCATAATCTAATCCGCAGACCGCACAACCCGCAATCCGCTAATCATTGGGGATTAGGTTTTGAACAAGCTAGAATATGCTTATGGTTGACTTCCCAGAACAAGCAGGATTTTTATTGGCGGGCTCCCTTGGGGGCCTAGACATTCTTCCTACAGTTTAAAGGAAACCCCAAAAAATAAGTCGGAATTTTTGGATTGCCACTGAAATGGTTCAAACCCGCTAAAGTGACTAAAGTCCGAAACGGAACTTTGAGAGGTTTTACTACAATCCCCATCGAGCTAGGTAGCGGAAGCAGCTAAAACTGTTCATAGGAGTACTGGGCACTGCTCATGTGACATTTCCCCTTTGAAACATAACACCCCACCCAACACAAAAAAGGCACACATATTTTGGGAACTCGGTCCATTGAAGCCACCCGTTCAGCCCGAATCCACACTACCCGTCGCCTCCATCGCCGGATTGATGTGCATCAGCGAGGTGTGCATGCTTGTGTCCACCACCTGAAAACAAACAAACAAACAAACAACCAAACAAAAACAACCAACCAAACAAACACAAACAAACACACAAACAAACACACAAGCAAACAATCACGAGATGGGCCGCGATTTTTTGAGGGCACTGTTTTCAGGTTGGTTTAAAGGGAATCCAAAGAACACCACCCATTTTGGGGGTCCAAATCCCTTTCACACATATCGAGATGGGTATGAACTTTAATTGGGGGCCGTTTGGTGGAGATCATTTTCGTGGGGATTTATTTCCAGCAACCATTTTGAACGTATTCCCTACTCAAGTTCACGGTCGGAGGGCCCTGAGACGCTTGATCGATCACTAAACCGAATCCTGAGTGAGCACGGTCCATGGAGCGGCCCTGAAATTCACTGATTCCTTGAACATTGGC